CTTGCTCATCACGATCACTACATTTTCCCTCGACAACGAAATCGGCCTGTATTCAACCCCAATCGAAACCCCACTCTGCGTTCCACCAGATCCAGTACGAAAGGCAGCCACGATCGCTCATGAGCCTAGGGTCTGTATCCAGGCTTTTCAAGGGCCTCCAATCTGTACCCTAGGCTTTTCAAGAGAGCCTACAATCTGTACCCTAGGCTTTTCAAAGGCCAAAATCTGTATATTAGGCCTACGGATAAGATGCAAAATCTTGGCAAACGGGGCCACGCTTGTCACCAAGTTATCTGTCCACTTGGTCCACAAATGAGATTAAGTTCTCTTCGGAGGTTCAATGGTAATTCGGAATGGTCCGTACACAATGGCTGGTCATTCACATGATCGTCTAGTCTGTATGTAGCTTTCGGGTAGCTGAATGAACTATACCTCCTCTCGATCTGGCTTCTAATTATGCAGATGGTACCAATATACGTGCATTAATGGTAATTAGCTAATTTGATGATCTACTAGGACAGCGTAATCATAGCTTGCTCTCCGCCTCCAAAACTCGCGGATGTGCAATTTTCCCTGGGCTCAACTTGCTCCAATCTTTTTTATATCCCTCCTCCACGTCCGGATATGGGCCCAGTGGTGTGATAGCCAATGGATTGATATCGCCATGACTCTTTGTGTACTACGCATTCCATCGTTAGCTAATCTACTTCCCCGATAGATACGAGACCTATATCAAGCAGAACAACTTACATTCTCCTTGATATGTTGGAAATCAGTCGACTCCCTAAATCCCTCAACATTCCAGTACAAGTTCTTTAACCAATTATTCAACACGGGGTAATCATGCCGTATCATACCCAGATTCGTCTTGAAATGCTGCACGTACACTGCATCGAAGCGCACAATCGTCGGATACGCAAGGAGATCCAGCTCAGTGAGCGTGTCGCCGAGAATATACGGACCGCCATTAGCATGCAGCAGGGCCTCGAGCCTGTTCAGCGCCGCGAACAGCGGGACACCGTTCTTCTCGTAGTCCTCCTGCGTGCGGACGAAGCCCGCTTTGTACACGCCGGAGCAGATGAGCGACGTCAGCCAGGGACTCACGTCGTCGATTTGCGCACGCAGTGACTGTGGGTAGAAATCTAGGTCTTGCACCCTTTTGTCCTGAGCCACGGAGTCGAAGGCGTGGGGGAGCCACCGCAGGATCTCGGCGCTCTCGTTGTTGACGATGCGGTTCGTCTTCTTGTCCCATAGGAGCGGCACGCTGTACTTGCCTTTGTACGCGGGGTCGTCGCGGAAGTACAGCTGGTGCATGAAGCGGCTGTTGAAGAGGTGGTCGGGCGTGGCGTTGGGGTACGTCTCGTCGAAGCGCCATCCTGGTTCGCCTTTGGGGTAGGGCCGGACGATGGAGATGGGGAGGATGCTGGTGAGGTGTTTGAGGTGTCTGACGAGGTTGGCGCGGTGGGCGAAGGGGCAGAAGAGGCCTTTGTGTGATTAGAGATGAAGGTTTTGAGGAGGGTGGTGGTGGTGTGTCAAAGTGAGGATGCTCACCGATGTATAGGCGGTATCTGTCTTTCTCGGGCGGGAATTGGCCTCCTTCTTCGATCACGCCATGCCAGCCATCGTCAGTTCCGTACTTGTGGATCTCTTTGGATGTCATCCTGGAAACGTGGGCAGTGACACTGCAATATTTGCGAATGTCACAGGAGTTGAGTGAACTTGGAACTGAGATTTGAGCAGTGAATGTCTGAAGAAAGAAAGCGTCCGAGGGACTGATCAGTACGAATATAGTCAAAAGATGTGATCAGTAATACACCGTTCTGGATGTCTTCCAGCTTCATGTACACAAAGCCCTAGCTAGCTGAAAGTGGGGTGTTAGAGCCGGCAGAATATAGTCACGATGGGCGGCATAGGAGGCGGTAAGCGGGGAAGAAGGTGTCTCATTGGTAAGCCTCCGATGACGACAGCGGAAAGCTTCCGAGCGAATATTCTTAGTGGATATGTCATTTCAATGAAGAGTGAATAGGGTCATATGTCATTACTGAGTGCGACAATTACGAGGCACTCGGGTTACTTCGCTTTTCTTAGGTACAACACTTCAACTTTTCACACACTACCCCACATGGAACTCCACACTTCTCAATGCTCAGTCTAGGTGTACTTATTCCACTGACCGCGACCGATGTAACATCTTTGTTTTCAGAGTCCTGCTCTGAAATTGCGAGTTCGGGTTGCAAAGTCGCAGAATGAATTCCATACGCGTGAAGACATTGTGAGAATATCTGCGCCTTCTTCATGAAGGTTGCAATGTCTGGATCGCTGACAACAATGTGAGCACTGGCGATGGACTTCCTCTGATCAAGACGCCACACGTGGAGTTCATGGACGCTTTGTACTCCAGGTATTGATTCCAAGTCGTGTTTGATGTCCTCGATTTTGACGCCCTGAGGGGCCGACTGAAGAAGGATCTTGCCACTTCGTTTTGTCAATGGTATCGCAGAGATCAGGATCATGATGGCGATCCACATTGATACAGCAGGGTCGGCGTAGAATCTAGAATCCGACTTGACGAACCAGATGATTACAGCCGAAATGATGACGCCAATGTTGTTTATGGCATCGCCGAGGACGTGGATCAGAACTCCCATGATACCCAAATCCATTCCATGCTTCTTGGGTTTTGCAACGATATGCATGTGGCTAGCATGTGTCGAGGTCGTTATGATGTTTTCTTCATCTTCGTTCATAGGAGAACCATGTTCGTGTCCATGGTCATGTTCATGCAAGAATAGGGCGCTGATGAGATTCAGGAAGAGCCCAACAGAGCCGACGATCAAGACCAGCTTCGGATTTTCGACGTGCTCTATTGACACGAAGCGTTCGATTGACTGGAGACCGATGCTCAATCCTAGAGCAAGGAGAAATGCGCCATTGAAGAAAGCACCCAGCAACTGAGCACGCGCCCATCCGAATGAGAGGTCTGCAGGAGAAGTTTTGCGCTCCGTTACATGGACAGCAACTAATGCGACGATGAAGCCAATCAAGTCATTCAGCTACTGCATGTCAGTTTCCACAATTTCTCTTTGAATTAAATACGCACGTAGTGAAATGCATCTGCTACCAGAGCTAAAGATTTGGTGTAGAAGCCGACCGAGATTTCGGCTAGGAAGAAACAGAATGATATTGCAATCACCGCACGCAGGCGGTTCTTTCGGGTGATCTGGAACCGACCATGGCTGTGGTTGTGCTCATGCTCGTGGTCGCCATGGTTGTGAGCCATGTTGCAAGAGAACGAGTGATTGACAAAAACTCGGAGGACGGGCGAAGTAGTCTTAAATAGGGAAATAGACTAATGAATGGATTAGGAAGTGACGAATACCCTTGTGCAAACAGATATTCGTCGCACGAAATGTACTATATACATTTCCTTGTCCAACGTCGATAACATATCGTTTACTACTGAGACGCAACCCCTGTCGTGCCTGCATCATACTTGCAACTTCGGATTGTCATCGTTTTCGGTTACCAATCGTTGCTGGAAGGCGGGCGTGTGACAAGCGCGCCACATGACGGCTCAATCACGGTTGCACCCACTCTATTGCGATTGAGCAAGCCAGCAGCGGGGAAGTCGTGAATTGTCCATCACATGAGAGCGCGGAAGTCTAACCGAAAGCCATCTAGGCCCGGAAGATTGCTTACCGCCTTCTCCAAGTGGCCAGACCCCTCCGTCGCAAAATAATCTCTCTGCATCTCACGAGCAAACTTTATACCCGAAAATACTCAAATCTTCACTCACGTCCAGCGACTAATCCGAAGCGACCGTTGAAATGGGTAACGGTGCCAAGTAAGGATATCCCGGCTGGCAAGCATGAGAAATTCGGCTGACATTACTGCAGAGCTCAGCAAAAGCGCGATCGCAAAGGCGATGGTCCTAAGGAGGCAAAGAGCCAACTGAAGGCCGTATGTACATCGGTTCCCCATGGATGAGCAAGATGCTGAATATTGTGTTTCTACAGAACGTTGCTGCCCAGACCATCAAGTGCAAGACTTGCTTCCAGACCTTCCAAGGCACCACGAGCCGCAAGATGCTGACCGACCACGCCTCGAACAAGCACAGCAAGGACTTTGGCGACTGCTTCAACGCCGACGAGGGCGTTGCAAAATAAGGTTCCGCCTGGCGTTAGGGGAACCGAGGAGATGTAGATTCGGCGGCGTTTGCGGTGCAATTGAGAACGAGATACCACGATTGATGAGCGAGAACATTTAGACAATGAGTAGTGCCAGCATAAACCAGGCGTAAGGAACAATCGAGATCGGGTGGACATTTGGAATGCCATAACGCGGTTTTGTGCTCTTTGCGTGATGCGTGCCCTTGAAAGCCGAGATCTTAACGGACTACAGTCCACGATACCTCCAGATTCAGTGACTGAACTTCAGTCTGGCGCTCTCCCAATTGAAGGTCGATGATCCCACCTCTAGGCAACATGTCAAACTTGATCCCGTGAAGGCCATCCTAAGATATTGAATAACAATAATCCCGTGTTTGTCGTCAAGTCGCACCACCCAGTGTTTGACCTCGACACCCTTTCCCAACATCCCGTCAAAGGGTAACCAAGGGAAAGGTACATATCAGTGCTACCTGTACAAGGTCCAGGTATCAAGTTAAATTATCCCATGTTGCACTCGTGCATATGAACTTCCTAATCCAAGGAATGTAATCTATCTTACACAATTTGATTTTGCTTTTGTAAGGAGGTCTATATACCAAGGTATGTTCCTGTTTAGGAAGGCCGATCGGCAGTTGCGCGTAGCCGGTACCTACCCCACTTCTGCCCCGCTATACATGGATCATGGCCGTAACTTCCTCGCGCCACTAGGCAGCAGTCAGAATTTGGCTTCAGGCCCGCTTTGACAAGAGTTCAGACTCGGTAGCTCTGCGCAATGTAAATATAGTGTATATAGTTTATTAAATTCCGAGTTCTTTCATCAAAATCCCATCAGTCTCCTTAGCTCAATTGGGAGAGCGCCAGACTGAAGTTCAGTCACTAAAATCTGGAGGTATCGTGTTCGATCCACGAAGGGGACAACGTGCTCAGCTTGCTGAGATATTTCGAACCATCTTTTTTGCTT